TTCGGCCGCCATCCCTCGATCAGCTGATCGAAGGAGCTGGTCAGAAAATCTTCGAATGGACAGAGTGGGCAGCCAATGAGCTACTGGCTCTGTTCAGGTATTCTGACATTGGCAGGCATCCCTCGATCAGCTGATCGAAGGAGCTGGTCGGAAAATCTTCAAACGTCAGCCACCGTCAGAATACAGTGCAAACAGCGGGAGATTCCTCGGTCAATGCTCTCAAACGTTGATGGAGGAATCTGTAATATTTTCTTTATTCACCTCGTGAGTTGAACGAAGAAAATATTACAGTGCATGGCCAGCTTTAGGCTGCTCTGATTTGGACCAATAATGCCTCCCCTCTTCTTATGCCCATTGCATAGGGAGGTGGTGATCTGTAGTTGACAAAGCTGATACTATTTCAGTTCAGCACACAGGAAATTAGAAGGACTCGAGACTTCTGGTGTATCTGCAGAACCTGTAGCCTGAAAAAAAAAAAAGAAAAAACTGATGCAGCTATAGAACTGGTAAGCTACAATAAATAAACTTTTTGTTCTTGGGTTTAGATATATCTGAACATATATATATACTTCTGTATAAGTACTTAAGTATTGATTGTCATTCCCTTTGGGAGCAGGTCACTTACCTATGTGCTTACTAAAAGTAGCTACCATTATTTTATGCCCTGCTGCATGTGGCATAGAAATGTCTGCACCTCCCAGAATCCCTGTGTAAGCAGCAGGACCCACATCACAGTGCCTGGAAGACAACGCTCCAGCATAGAAATATATTGTTGCTACATAGAATTATTGTACAGAACGTTCACGCTTTAGTGCCACATTGAAGGTTAGGATGGGACCACAACTGAAATCTGATAGGTTCAGCTACTGCTGTTCACAAACTGATGATTTTCCTAGCTATATTCTTTTATTACTAAGCACTGCCAGGAGTCCACCATATCATTCTGCCTGTACCAGATTTGCCATCAACACTGCGGCAAGTATCGAGGTGAAATCCTGATGATGGGCAGGATTCTAGGTAACAAAATCAATCACTGGTCCAGCTTTAGCCTATGGTCATGATGAGAAGGGTTGGCCAGGTTTTGAAACACAATTACATTACATAGATTTGGCTGCCATTGTAGTGGGCATCAAACTCTCATACTACCTTTAAAGGGAAACCATGTTTTTTTTTTTTTGAATATAATCTTTAAAGTGACACTAAATTAGAAATTAAATCTTAAAAATACATACAAGTACCCAAACTATTAACAAAAATATATCTTATTTGTGTATCACTCATCTGTAGATCCTCAAATCATCTCTGAATTGGTGCCGACACTGTCCTTCCTTCTGGAGGGTGGCTACTTTTGTTCCCCATGGTCCCTGGTGTTGGAAAGTAGACGCTCCAAGTTCACTCCCGTGAGAGGCTACAATCTCACGTTTAGTTTACTAATTTGTATTGAGATTGTAGTCCATCACGGGAGTGAGCTTGGAGCGGTGGCTATTTTCCAACACCAGGGACACATGGGGCACAAAAGTAGCCCCCCTCCAGAAGGAAGGACAGTGTCAGCACCAATTCAGAGATGATTGGAGGATCTACAGCCGAGTGATACACAAATAAAAGATACATTTTTGTTACTAGTTAGGCCCCTTTTACAAGGGCTAATCAGGGGGATCCGTGCACGGATCACAGCAGTACGAAGCAGAAGTCACCTGCAATTACCGGACCTCATATCGGTCTATAGGGACTCTGACGTAAATGAACATGTGTCAGTTTACATCAAATCTGGCACAATCCAATCCGGCAGAATGCATCTCTGATCCGTTTGTTTTTCTGGACCGGGCCAGAGCCGGGGGTACCCGAGTATAAAATGGACGCCCCTCTGTTTACACGCAGCTGCCCACAGACTTACATTGGGCATCTGATCAGGTCCGCTTGAAAAATTGAGAGACGGACCCGACTGGACTGGCTGTGTGAAAGGGGCCTTGGGGTACTTCAATATATTTAAAAGTTTTAACTCCTGAGTTTAGTGTCACTTTAAGTAAAGCAATACCAATGATCCTTATGTAATATAAAAATATTCTATAGCTCATGTCTCCCTTGACTGAAAACAACAGACTCAGCATTCATAAAGCTGACATCCAGGAAAATACAATTTAATTCAGTAATATCATTAAAAGGCACTGAATGTATTTTACATACGACTGACATGGTTACCTGAATCTGTCTTGTCTCTTCTTGTGCTCTTAACATGCAGCAGGACAAGCACTCCCAGTCCGTCAGGGCTGTATGGCTTTAAAGAGCGCGTATGGACCAATGAACGTGCTACTTGCTCACCCTTCATTGTCCATTGACAAGGGGAGAGGTACAAGAGCCAGTTTAAAACGCTTATAACTTTTGAGGTTTTCTCTGACAATGGAGCTGGCTCCTGGATTGCATATTGATTTGTCCACCCCTGCGCTAAGTAACCCATATCACTCAAGTCCACCAATCTAAAGCAGACCAATGCCCTCTGTATAGATGCAAATGACTCCCTATAGCATTGGAAATATCAGCCAATGTCCAAAAGCCAGGGTGGTGTACATGTGGTTGAACGCACGTGTTCAACTCTAGGATCTTCGAGTTCTCATAAGCCTGGTGCGAGTCCTTCCATTGTATAGTGTATATGTGTGTCCCCTACACAGAAACACAGAGATGTCAAGTCAGATAGTATTCTAGTGCTGCCTGAATAACAGCAGTAGCTGCATACACAGTCTGAGGGTTAGTCAGCATTCCATGAATGGAATAAGATTATCACCCAATTCAAATGTTCTTGCTGCAATAGTGTGTCAATTGCACCATGAATGGAGCATGAACTGCCATGGCAGCAGAGTGACATCAAAAGCCTAAAACTGCATTGCACTGTTCTATTAACCCTTGTAGCTAAGGCAGAGATGAACCAGGGTCCTCTGACTGCATGTAAGGCCCACAGCACATGTAAACCAATAGTAGATGTGCATGTCAAGTGAATAGAGGAACGAGCTAGGGATTGGTCAGTTAGTTTGCTGAACCATAAGATTCCTATATCATACCATCATACAACGAACCCTGAAGCTGACCAATCTACATGCCTTGTGATAACAAAACTGAGTACTTTAAGGCATCACAGCAAAACTTTTCAAATTTTTCCACAAAGATATAAAGAACCCAGAAAAATATTACGTTGCACAAATTGCTGCTCTAATACAATGTACCTACAGGTATAAGAGAAAGGTCACCCTAAGAACTCATTTGGACGGCTCTCCTCTAGACAATAGTTGGTAAAACTGGCTGCAAAGCTAAGATATCGGCCAGATGTGGTGTCACAATCCAACAACAAAATAAAAATGGACCAATTTATAAACATGACAACTGTCCAAAGACTGCAGGTCTGAGGTCTATGTGCTGGGCATGCAACCGTGGCACCAGCCTTATTTCCGGAAGCCAATTCAGGTGATGGCGCCTCTAACAAAGGATATGTGGCCTACAAAAAGTCACCAATGTCACCCAGTCAAGTCAAAATAAACCAGTTTAATTATTGATTATCTAAAGCTGCCCCATACACTGTTCTATTTTTTTTTCCAACCCGTGGGCCTGCTCTTTTTGAAAATTTTCCAACCGGCTCCTTCAATCACCTGATCGAGGGATGCCGGCTGAACGGGTGACGACAGCAGCACCCACTGGGCGAGTTTCAGCTGCTTCACCAAGAACAGGCCGAAATTCGCAGTGTATGGCCACCTTACCTGCCAGCAGAAATGGACTGTAAAAAAACACATCTCAAATATAAACAGACAAAACACACACATATGACCGCTCCACTCTTTTTAAATATGTGCTTGGCTGCTAAATAAATGGCCCGCAGGCCAGAAGGCACAGGGAAATTTTTTAAAATAGCTAGATATAGATTCAAAAAAAGTCATTGCAACAGTAGAGAACGAGACAAAACTAGGAAAAAAGGTTACAATTTGCTATTCTAGGGCTTTCCAACATTCGCCTTTTAGTGTTTTCCAAAAAACACAAAAAAATTAAGTCTTGCATATATTTTCATATATTTTACTACAAGTAAAATAAATTTGAGATCTGTACAACCGCTGTACTTGCTACTACAAAAAGGAGGAGCTTTCTGTACGATACCTTAAGTAAATGACACGACATTCCACTGCTTATAGTTTGACAGCAAAGTTGGCAAAGATTAATAACATTCTTGCATTAGCAGAAGCTCACTGCAAAGTCATTGCTCAAATGTAACATTCCCATTTGTCTAATAAAGTTTGAAAGGGGGGAAAAAAAAGTGTCAAGTAGGAAAGATTGTGGCCTGGGGGGGGGGGGGGGGT